TATGTTTGTTATTCCTGAAGATTAAGGCCACGTGGTTACCTATGGTCAACCATCTCTAAAGAGGTGCAGGTAGTGTGTTTTGAAGCAGTATAACATTTTTTTAATACTAATTTTTTGGTATTATGTTGTACTTACCACTTTTTTTTCTTAATTATATGCATATTGCATAACAGCACATACCTCCCCACTTTTATCCCTGGTGTCAATGTTTAAAGCTATAGGAAACTAAGGGAATTTATTAAAAAAGAAATTGAAAAATGAAAAAGGGAAACTGCTGGCTAATAATGATAAATCTAACAACAATTAATTTATATTAATTGTGTTAAAAGTAATCAAAATGTTAAAATGTAAAATACACACAGACCTCTTAAAAGATATGGAAAGATGTATGTTGAAGACTGTGACATAGCCGAGGTTTTAAAATTTCTTCTTCTCTTCTGTATTTACAAAAGAAAATATTAACAATATTCCTTATGCTGAGGATTCTATGTGAAATATTGGAATTGACCTGAATCAAGCAGATATCCATTGGCAGAAAGTAAAATGATTGAGATATTAAAAATAGATAAAACAGCATGACCACACAAGTTTCTTTCAACCGGGTTTTACATGAGGTCAAAGATAGATAGTTAGGTCTCTAATTTAATTTTTGGTTGATCAATATCAAGTTGGTAGATGCATGAGGTGAGAAAAGTTGCTAATGTTACTCCTGTTTTTAAAGGAGGGTGATAAGAGTTGCATTGGAAATTTGAGACCATTTAGACTTACTTTTGTAATGAGAAAAATTTGAGAGAGTCTAATAAAGGATTTGTAAAATTTATTTAGTGAAATATGGTATCATAAAAAAAACCTACATAGATTCATAAAAAGGAAATTTTGCCTTACTAAAGCTTTTGGTAAGTTGCCACAGAGAAGGTTAACTAAGAAGATCACATCAGTACAAAATGAAGAAAGACTAGCTAATTGGATTTTAGGGTGGTTGGATGAAACAAATCATAAAATTATCATTAATGGAGTATAATGAAACGGGACCTTTGTTACTAATTGAGTGACTTAGGGGTTAGTACTTGGGACTTTGTTTTTTACTAATTACATTAATCATATAATGGCATAATTAATCAATAAGTAAATTTTGCTGTAGACATTAAACTCTTCGGCTTTTCTAGCTGTTTTGAGGATATTGAAGTGCTACTGAATGACTTGGATGAATCCGTAAGTTATACAAATATTTGACAAAGCAATGCATCTGGGTTATTTTATTTTGATTGACACATTTAATATGTATGAGAACTCACTCAATAGTATGACTTAACCAAAGGATCTTGGCATAGTGATGGCTAAGTCACTCAAACCATTTTCACTAAGCCTCATATAATATTAGGGGGTATTTATAGACATATTGATTACAAGTTAAAAAGAGGTAACTCTTTTTCTACACAGATCACTAGTTAGGGTTTGTCTGTGGAGTGTTGGGTCACTTTTGAGTAAACTGCCTGTATCTTGCTGAGCAGCAAGGTATACATGGCTATTGGTTTTGACTGATGGCTAAGCAGGACAGCCAATAACAGGCAGTGAAAAATGCTGCTATAGCTAAATGAAACTAAATTGAAGCCCAAGTCAGGCCTGATCACCAAATGAGTGGTGCAGTGGACAGCTTGCACCAAAATGGTTTAGTGGACATTCCAGCTATGTCAGGACTGGATGGGTCTTGGTACATGCCTGTCAGGATAAAGGGCAAGAGGTAGCATTACTGGTTTATAAAAAATCAGCCAAAACACTGCTAAGTCTCATGGTATATCAGGCACTCCAAGCAAAACTACTACTCCAGCCAGTTGACATAAACTTTGTTCTGGCAAACAGGGGTAAACCAGACATGAAAAGAGATGTAACTATATGACACTGTCTAGGAGGCATTTCTCACAGAATAAAGGTAGTTGTCACCAACCTCAGTTCTGGCATCAGCATCCTTGGGATAAACATACTTCAGAGCTTCTCAGTCAGTTTCACATGTACAACTAGTTAACTGTTGTTCCATAGAAGAGTTACCTGATGCAGACCAGACTGGATCTAGGAACAGTAGAGTGCATAAGTATCACACAATCAAAATTACACAAGTGGAGTTCCATGTGATGTGACAGCCGATTTTGAAAGGCTAATTGGTTGTTTGGTGCTTTATGGCGCAAAGCAACGAGGCTATCTGTGCCAAACAACCGGTAAAAACAGTGAAAGTAAATTAGAGTAAAATGTAAAAATACAGCTAGTTAAACAAAAGATATACAATTAAAAATACAATCTAGTAGGACAGTGTCACCATTACCAATGACACTGTCCAACGTCAGGGGTAAACTCTTAGAAAACACGTGTCTAAAATGGTGCCGCCGCTCACGGTCGTAATGACAGTAAAATGTGGGCTATTGTGGCTTGAGTGTCACAATAGCTACACATCGGTGGGTCAATACCAGATAAAAGAAAATGATGAATTAAAAAACTGTGACCAATGCGTAGCCTTGCCAGGACTACTTCCTCCTTCCGATCCTTATGGAAGCAAGACGGCCAAAAACCAACAGAAGGCTTGATCTGGAAAAGCTTGTTATGACATTGCTCACCCCAAGTTGCCTGCCAACTGGCACAAAGCCACGCCTTGAAGACAGGACTGTAGTCCATGTATGGGACAGGCATGGCCATGACGGCACCAGAGCAGACGGACTTAGCTGCGGTGTCAGCGAGCTCGTTCCCGTGAATACCGACAAGGCCAGGGATCCAGTAAAACTGGATGGAAACAGGAGATAGAGAAAAGTGGGCCAGTCAGTGTTTGAAAGGCTATTGAAGCTTACACTGAAGGGTCTACAATGGGAGACGTACCCGAGATATGTTGACAATGTCTTAGTGTTCATGTTTGAATCTATAGCTGAGAACGTGATAATTGTATTCCAGCAGATAAAAAATGCAGGCTTGAAACTGAAAACACAGAAATGTGCTTTCATGCATACACAGTGGAATTTCTTGGTCATATTGAGGGTAGAGAGGGATCCTGCTAAAATAAAAGTGGTACGAGATTGGCCTCAATCTGCGAGATGTTTGCAATTTCCTCAGTTTTGCATTGTGCTACCAACAATTTGTGGCAAACTTATTCGAGATCACCTCACCTTGAGAAATGTGAACATGCATTCCAGTCACTAAAGGAAGCACATTTTGGTAGAAGCCCCAGTCCTGGCATATCCATCATAGGACTGCGAGTTCTTCTTAGATACTTGTAACAATGATAGTAGAATCAAAGCAGTTAATGCAGTTGCAAAATGGAGTAGAATGGGTAGTCATAATGGCTTTTGAACACAGATATTGTTCAACAAAGAAAGAACTCCTTGCAGCTGCAGCCTTGATAAAACACTCACAGCAATACTTGTATGGTACCAAGTTCATTATCTGAGTGAACCATATGTTGCTGAAACGGTTGCTGAACGTTTAAAGATCTGTAATGGATGATAGATTTAGTCATACAGTATGACTCAGGCCCACAACAAAAATGCCAATGATTTGTCTGACCTTATGAGAGACTATCCATTCATTTAATGTCAAGACCCTAAACACCATGTGGGAAATGAAACCATTCCTGCATGGCGACAACAAGTAGAAAATTTCACCAGTAAATTGAAGCCACAATTAAAATTTTGGGAGATTCTGTAGAAAGGTTAAGCCCAAGCAGCTCAGATTGAGGAATGTAGCATCGATGCACATAACCTATGCCACTTTAATGAGCAGTTACGAGTGCAGGGTGTTGCAACTAGTGGTCCCAAGAGCTTTGAAGCACAAGATTATCCAGATTTTACATAATTCAAAGATTTGAGAGCACCAAGGTATTATCCACATCTATTCTAACATTCAATGCTGGTCTCAACACTAAATAAAGATTGGGCCTAAACAGATTAATCAACAAATAATTGATGGTTTTTCTCCACAGAGAATAGCCCTGCATATCACTGGTCCACTCCTGGAGATGGAACAAGGTTACCTACATATACTCATGACCAGTAACTACTTCATGAGGTGGGTCGAGACTTATCCATGGTCAAGACATTGGCACAGCCTGTGGTTGATGTGTTGGTAAAGCACTGGATAACGCAGTTGGGAGCATCAAAATAAAGCCACACCAATCGGGGAACTAACTTGAGTTGTTTAAATTTTAGGTGTAGTGAAAGTGCACACTTTGCCTTGTCACAGTTAGTCTGATGAATAAGTCATGAGTAATACAGACTGTCCAGTATGTGCTTGCTAACTTTGTTAATGTCAAAGAAACTATCTATGATGAACATATATCATGTAACTAAGTAGAGATCAAGAGGTTGTTCATCTTATATGCTCGTGTTTGGGCAGGAACTCTTTAAATATGGTATGAATAGGTAGTTATGACCATCTTTATAACCTACACATCTGGTGGCCTTCTGACCAATCCAGGCTTTTGGTATCTAATATCAAATTCTTGACCGTTCTGACTATCTTTTCTTCAACTATCCAATGATGAGTTCATTTATAGTGAGTGCTGTTGTCTCCAAGTTGTTTCAAACTGTATAGTGTAAGATCAATGCTCTTTGGTAAGAACATGGACTTCATTGCTGGTCCCTGGAGTCAGCCTGAATTTCTACATGGCAGAGCCCTGGATGAATATGCATTGCTGGCCAATACATCAGACATTAGAGATCTAGCTGAGTTGATTATCAAGTTATTCCTAAAGTCTCCCAGAACCAGGCAGCCTCAATCAGTTGCCAATCTCGCAGAAAAAGAAATGTTGTCATCAATATAATTAATATCAATTTCTTATCAAAGCAAGTGGACTACATATGTTAGATATACACGATTGTTTCAGTTTAAGTTTAATGCAAGTGTTATAATTTAGATAGTTTATATAGTGCACGTGTTAAATTTAGTTATTTTTAGAAGCAATAGTTTATTGCAGGTTTTGCGATTCATACATTGTGTAATTCAATAGTTATGAAGTGGTCATGTTACTAGAACCTTCAGAGTTTTTCTCGTTGTTCTAATGGAGCATTATTTCATCATAATATCTATCAGTGTGTGGAACATTCTAGACCTCTGTCGGAGCATAAATACATATCAAAAATTTAGTTTGATAGATAGATTCTGAATGCGCAATTGTGAGTTTAGCCATAAAGAATGTATAGTGGTGATTTTTAAAGTGAAATTATCACAGATGTGTTGTAATAACAACAGAGTAGAGAATAACAGTAGAGGAGAATAATTTGTCTTTTCAATTGAGTTCTAAAGTAACTGAACCAACTTGTGTGGACTCTGATGAAAAAAAAAAGAGTTATTTAAAGCTCTGGATACAACCGTGCTAATCAACAGTGTAACAAACATTGTATATATGTTTGACTTGTTTTAATATATTATTTAAAAATACGTGAATTGTGTGCTGTTTGTCTACTGCTGAAATTTATCGCCAATAAGTCACTCACACACATCTACTGTAAAGAATCCGACCCATACGTAAAACCTGACAACATAAGCTCAGAACTAAAAATTAATCTAGTGATTAATACAGCTAATTAAATATACTATTATTATATTCTTATTCATAACGATTAGAATGTATTGTTTTATCCTATGCTTCCCCACTATTAGCTATAATTTCGACCGCAACCCCAACAATATTTCACAAGGTTTGGTCAGCTTAGGAAATCTAAGTTAGTCCTATATCAATATATTAACCTAACATTGCAAAATAATCCTAATAATACAGATGAAAAATACAGGTGTATGTGTATGTATTATTTATTTATTAAACATTCTAACGAATAGTGTTAATGAGCATAACACCAATGAAAGAATTGAGCTTAACTTGCAAGTTACAGAACACATAAAGAGAAGGATAGATTTTGCTTTATGTGTAAACATCAATTTCATGTCCCTCGAAAACTTTACATTAGTATATGTTAAACTTAATATTTTAACTTAATGGTAAAACTCCATAATGTCTTGTACCAATCAGACTCGCAGTGTAACTATAGAGCAGCTTGACATCTGAGAAGATACTAACACACACATATTACTGTTTATCTAAAGAGTGCTTCCGGTCCATTGTGTAGTTTTCTGCTTGACAACAAACAAACAAAATTAACTATAAGTTCTGGCAGTAGGATAGTACAGACAATACAGCAAAAAATGTTTATGAAGATAAATAATAAATATAATAAATAGATAACAAAATTATACAATAAGTTCTAAAAATATTGATACTCTAATTAAAATAACCAAGTTTATATAAGAAAGTTTACTAAACACAAACTATAAGGTATGTCTAACACAACTAATCCAACTAATCAGTTACTTCACAACACACACATGTAGCGGGTCCGGCATGGCCAGGTGGTTAGGGCGCTCGACTCGCAATATGAGGGTTGCGGGTTCGAATCCCCATCACACCAAACATGCTCGCCCTTTCAGCCGTGGGGGCATTATAATGTGACGGTCAATCCCACTATTCGTTGGTAAAAGAGTAGCCCAAGTACACTTCAAAATTAGGGACGGCTAGCGCTAATAGCCCTCGTGTAGCTTTGCGCGAAATTCAAAACAAACAAACACATGCAGCTGGAAACTAGAAGCAATAAACAAAGTTAAATCCTAAAGTTGAAGTCGAAACGTATAGGCAATAATAATATTAATGAAACTTCGTGGTAATAATAGTAATAAGACTTGAAAAAGTAACAACAATGCCCACAATGGTAAATATGAGAAAATGGTTAACTGAAACTAACATAACTACAGGTAATAATGAAAACTGTTCACTCGATATTGTAGTCATAATTATAACTATACAAATTAAGTAAGGTTGTGGCAAGTATACATAGGACAAATAGGTCTATTTCAGAACGAGCACGCGAAAAAAATCTGTAACATCCAAAACTATGATCCAAACAAACATGTGGCGACACATTTCAACCATCACGACCACAGCATCAAGCACTTGAAAATACTACCCTCCCCTCTCACGGCGTTCATTATTATTTATGTTTGTGGCAGTTACTAAGCCTATCTACTGCCGTCCCTAATTTCAAACTACCAACGAGAGAGAAGGCTATTAGTGAGCAGCATCCACGCTAAGGAATTAATTCTCACTTTTATAACACAGGATTATTTAATTTTTCGTTTAATTTCCATTGGTTCTACATTTCTTCATGTTTCTCCTACGTAAGAGTCTGAACAATTTTAACAGCATATTCTATATATTGTACCATTTTGACTAGCATGAGATATTTGTTGGAGAGTATAGGTGAACATTTTAACTTAGTGTGTGTTTATATATATATATATATATATATATATATATATATATTATTAAGTTTTTAAATTAACGAAACCAAGCTCACTTTATCGTGCGTATGTTATAGCAAAGCCACATCAGGCTATCTGCTATGTCCACCAAGGGGAATCAAACCCCCGATTTTAGCGTTGTAAGTCCGTAGACTTACCGCTGTCCCACCAGGGAACCTCACCTTAGCTGAAGAAATCTTAGTATATAAATGACAGAAATGTACAAATACAAAGCCACATATCAATCATCCTTTCGAGAACTGCCTCTCAATAAACTATTACCCCAGATAACAGTGAGTTTCGTTTGACATTCGGTGAATACTGCAACTGCTCATCATGTTAATTTGTTCAATCGTACATGAAACAGTTCAAGTTTCATGTAAGTTAATGTAAATTTTGTGGTAACCGGAGGCGTAACTGAGTGTAAATTTGAGTTGCGCACGGACGAGGGAGGTATGGGAGGGGTTCTTCCCTCCCACTAGGGGAGATCTAGTGTTCTCCTCAGAAAAGTTTTGGAATTTAAATCTGAAATGACATATTCGGGTTACCTTTTGTTGCGTATAAAATCAATAAACAATTAATTATACAGGCGACTTAAAGTATTCTAAACATTTCTTTTATTGCAGTTTTTTTTTTCTAAATTTGTTTGGAAGAAAACTGCCATAATTTAATTAGTCGTAACCAAATCTGTCATATACACGATATTATAACTCTTATATTTAAGATTTTATATCAAGTAACATTCGTATCTTTAATTTTCAATGCTAAGCATGGGCGTACTTGCATACGCCTAACTACACCCCTGGTAACTGTCACAGACGTTTCTAGGGCTTTTTCAGAGTAGAGGATCTTTCTTAACACATGTATGCCTAAGTAAGCCGTGGATGAGTGTCCAGAACATGGAGTCCTGGACCATAGCAGTGTTTGTGTTTGTCACTTTACAGTAAAATCAGTCAATATCTATATTACGGGTGTCATTTTTTGGTTATGAAATTTGGTCACTTTATAATTCACATAACGCCAAGACCCACATATAATATTTAATAGTAATATACCAACTGTAAGAAGTGACTAAACTACGATGTAATTTATAAGCCCAAATGCCTTTCAACGAAATGTTTTATGTAGCAGCTTCATTGACACACACACACAAATCAAATACTATAACTTAGTTTGTTAAACCGTTTTTTTCAAATGAGTGGTCAGTTACATGCGATTCGACTGGTCATAATGACGCAAAAAATATTATATTATTCTAAACATTTGTGTTTGTTACTATCCAATATTTCATCTGGCGACTTCATCACACATATTAAGTAAACAGTTAGGTCTACTTAGAACTTCATCAGGAACTCAACCCGCACATATTACGTACACAGGTCTACTTAGAACTTCATCAGGAACACAACCCACATATATTACGTACACAGGTCTACTTAGAACTTCATCAGGAACACAACCCACACATATTAAGTACACAGTTAGGTCTACTTGGAACTTCATCAGGAACACAACCCACACATATTACATACACAGTTAGGTCTACTTGGAACTTTATCAGGAACACAACCCACACATATTACGTACACAGTTAGGTCTACTTAAAACTTCATCAGGAACACAACCCACACATATTACGTACACAGTTAGGTCTACTTAAAGAACTTCATCAGGAACACAACCAACACATATTACGTACATAGTTAGGTCTACTTAGAACTTCACCAGGAACACAACCAACACATATTACGTACATAGTTAGGTCTACTTAGAACTTCATCAGGAACACAACCCACACATATTACGTACATAGTTAGGTCTACTTAGAAAATTTAGGTAATAAATTTGTTTGTTGACTTTCGTACAAAACCACTCGAAAGTTATCTGCGCAAGCCGTCTCCAATTTAGGAGAGAAAGACATGAGGGAAGACAGCTAGTCAACACCACCCATCGCCAACTCTTGAGCTATTCTTTACCAACGAAAAGCGAGATTGACCGTCACATTATAACGTCTCCACGGTTAGCGATATACTTCGCTCTGTGACCATCTTGTCAATAACAAAGATAAATAGTAACCGTGGTTTATTATTTTCCAGATATTCGTCTTGGACTTCAATCAGTTACATATTTGGCGTAAATACAGCTTTTGTGTGCGCTTAAAAAAAAAAGAGCTCTGTACTCTAATCAGCACTGTAACATTTGTGAAATTACAATAGCATAAACTAGCCATAATGGTATTTTAGGTGAAGACGATAATCTATATGAATAAATATTCTTAAGTCTAAATGTATTACGAAGAATAAAAATTATTTTATTAGGACGACCATTTTATTAAAACATTTAATGGAGAAACTCGCAATAAAGTGCTAAGTTTGCTTGCTTTTATTAATATTCTACAAGTTTATGGACAAATAGTACACTTAACGTTAACAAGTAAGAACTGTTTATCCAGAAAACCTAACCTTTTTCTTCTGTTGTTTTAACTGCTTGTCCAGAATACGGGCCAAGTGAATCATCATTGTGCAGGGAACTGCAGAGTCAGTGGCTCCATAAAACGTGCCCTCACTGAAATACTTAGAGTCGTAATGACAAGCCAGCACTAACTGTTCACAAGCGTTAGGGTTAAGGGTACTAACGATGTTTGTGAATAGTATTTCACCATGGGGGGTTGTTGCAATAAAAGTATCTTCCTCAACTTCCCAGTCTAAAGACTTCATGGTTTCAACTATAAACTGCCAAAATTGATAAAACAGATATTTTACTTATAAACAACTGAATTAAGAAAAAAAAAAAATCTGATAAAATATAAACTAAAGCATCTATGTAAAAGTGAAGTAGAAATAGGTTTTATAATTTAACTTTCTTCGTTGTCTGTCATCCATCATTAACATTTCAGTATAACTACATTTATATCATAATAACAAACATGTTATTTTTTATCAAATGTTTAGCTGTTAAGTAAAATGAATGATAATCACAATTAAGAAAATGGCCACAGCAACTTAATATATTTATATATTAGCAACAGATTCATTCGACGGCAATCAAAGTTTAATGAAGAACAGTAGAACGAGGCAGCAATAATGAACATTTGACACGTGTGTATATAGTAAGAAACATTCAATTATTCAACGTTCCGGAATATATATATATATTCCATCTTCAGCGTGCTATATTGAACAGGGTAAAATATTAGGTACAAAAACTTACAAAGTTCAAATATTTCATAAATAGTAATTAAAATACAGAATAAAAGGATGAAGTAAATTAAAAGACAAACAAGAAAGAATAAGATAATGTAACAGTTGTAACAATATTATACCTTTGTTCGACTGGTATTTATACCTCATTTTAACAATGAACACAAATAAACAAGATAATGCAACAATTATAACTATATTATACCTTTGTTCGACTGGTATTTATACCTCATTTTAACAATGAACACAAATAAACAAGATAATGCAACAATTATAACTATATTATACCTTTGTTCGACTGGTATTTATACCTCATGTTAACAATGAACAGATGGTTCGACAATTTATCTCAAATTAACATTAATAAAATAAACTGGTATTCACTCTCAAACAATATAATTTACGCGGTTTCGGAGAGTCCAACATATCACATGATTAACAATATTGTTGTTAATTTGGTTATTTTTTTATTTTTTTTACCAAAAGCACAAGGAAGTTTGAGATGTTTCCTGAACAGTAACCAGTATTCACTCATTTTCAACTTATTTCATCCCAGAACTGAATAATCAGGACAAGTGATGGATCGACTTACCTTTCTCACATTCTCGTGACCTCGAGTTCCAGGAACTCTAGGAGTCAAAAGAACGTCAAGTGTACTATTAAACACTGCATACTGAATAGGGTTAGTTAAAGTCAATGTGTGGACGGCTGCTCTGGATAAAATTTCTGATTCATGGTGCCACTAGTGAAAAGCAGTAACAGACGTTTAGTACTTCTATATACAACTTAATATATATTATGTTTATTAACAAATAAAAACTAGTACACTATTTCACAAAAACATAATATTAACAACTAAGAAAATTGACAGTATCGTTGTAAAACAAGAACTAACTTAACTAATTTGAAAAAAAAAATCCTTACAAAAATGCCTATAATTTCCTAATATCTGAAAAAAGTATTTTATTTGCATAGAACACAACGGAATGTTTCTCAGTAGATAGCAGCAGTATACGATATAAAAACTGCTACATTGTAAGATGTTACTCTAGTCTTTCAGGATACTGAAGACCGGTTATAGAAATTTTAAACGAAATACATGACCGTAAACCTGTAACTCGGGTAACACTCCAGAGATGAATGTAGTTCTATGTGTGACCGTTGCCATGACGTGGCAAAAGATAATTAACAAATGGAAAGTCTAGCAACCACAAATCAAATGAAGGTGCATGATAAAAACTCAAACCGAAAACCTACAAGTCAAAAGCGCGAGGCTAGTATTTAATATTTTACAACTTAGCACGTTAACTAAAGAATCAATTTAAACAAGGGTAATAATATCCTATTCTTAATCTGTGTCTATTCTTCAATAACTAAAACCACGAAGGCACAATAAATTAGGCTGGCAGACGTCTTGTATTAATTATGTTTACAATTCACGTGCTATTAAGGTTGAAATAACAGAATCTCATACAAAACAAATTACAAAAGCATGACTAAATGGATCTACGTTGTTGTACTGATAAGTATACTGAACAGATGTTATTCTCCCATTATGTGGCCTATCATTTCATCTGTATATTAGGTTTAAATGGATCTACGTTGTTGTACTGATAAGTATACTGAACAGATGTTATTCTCCCATTATGTGGCCTATCATTTCATCTGTATATTAGGTTTAAATGGATCTACGTTGATAAGTATACTGAACAGATGTTATTCTCCCATTACGTGGCCTATCATTTCATCTGTATATTAGGTTGATAAGATTATCATCTATTTCATGCATCCAGTTACATGTGTTTTAAGAGAAAATACGACAAAAAACAATTAAAAACATAGGCTTAGTTACCTATGACGGAGAAGTAACTGTATGTATTGTCAACTAACGTGCATTAACTTAATTAGTTCCAGTATTAATCAAAAAGTGATTGGTTTCATAACTTCAAAGTATTCTAACCATTGATAGTTACCTATGACGGAGAAGTAACTGTATGTATTGTCAACTAACGTGCATTAACTTAATTAGTTCTAGTAATAATCAAAAAGTGAACGGTTTCATAACTTCAAAGTATTCTAACCATTGATAGTTACCTATGACGGAGAAGTAACTGTATGTATTGTCAACTAACGTGCATTAACTTAATTAGTTCTAGTAATAATCAAAAAGTGATCGGTTTTATAACTTCAAAGTATTCTAACCATTGATAGTTACCCAATAAACATCAAATTTAAAATTGTTAACAAATATGAAAGAAAAACCTTGCATATAGATCAAAACTTGTCATTCCATACCTAAGCCCTAAAGTCTTTTCCTGAATTAAAATCATTGCTGAAACAATCAAACCCTAACGTTCAGGTAGTTGAAAAAACCAGAAGTTGAATTGAAAACAAAACATAAAACTATTAGTATAATCTTTCTTGGAAAAAGCAAAAAACAAATGCCATGTACTATGCTGACAGGGGTTTGCTACAACTGCAAATTCAATTTATATTCGGGGTTGCAGAAATAATATGAAACATATTGTGTCAGAATACGTTAAGGCGACACACTGTAACAATATAAAAAATAATACATTTGCTGAATATTATTTAAATAACCATAGTCCACAGTGTGCTAAAAACAGACAGTCTTTTTAATGCCAAGATATTTACTAAGAGTCTCAATTTTAGATAGAAAATAAACAGAAATTCCACACATACGCGAAACCCAAACAATAAATCAACAAACCCCACTTAAAATATATATTTCTGTCTTTTTTCCGTTAAGAAATATCCTTCAAATTTTTTTTTTCTTCTTCTTCTTCTTCATCTGGATTTGGCCCATATTCGTTTTGAATTTATTTGTTTCGAATTTAAGCAGAAAGCTACAATGGGCTATCTGCTCTGCCCACCACGGGTATCGAAACCCGGTTTCTAGCGTTATAAGTCCGCAGACATACCGATGTGCCACTGGGGGGCGGCCCATGTTCAAAATTATTATTCGATATTCTACTTGTGTTTAAGTTTCCCGCGCTTTTTTCATTTTTAAGTAAAATCAAAATTAAATTAATTTTAATTTGTTTTATTAAATATAAACAGTATTTTAATCATACTGTAACATTTAATTATATATCATAATATCCCTGTTAAATCAAACCGTTCTGTGGTGCTGCAGTAGCGTTTTGCAGACTTAAGGCTAGAAGATTCCATTACAAAGTCACAAGGACGAAACACTGGGAGTAAAACAAAAGTAAAAGTAACAATTTTCTAGAGCTGAAGTCGTTTTCATTTATAGTATATTATGTTTGTCTACACTGACTTTATATATACATATATATTAGCAAGCTCGCCGACAGAAGATGGGGGGGGGGGGCAAAGGAAGCAACTGCCCAGGGACCCGAGCGAATGAATCTGGTTATGCCGTAAAGCACGTTTTTACGCTTATACTGTGAGTTAAAAAGGGCTACTGCTATGATTTTGTGTGGTTTTTGAGCTCGTTGCTGTTCTAATTTAAGATCTTTTTTTAAACAAGTCCTTTAAAATGTTAAAAAGAGAGAGAGAGAAATGAAGTCCGACGAGGATATTTGCCATTTTTTTATTTATTCATCACTATTTTAGGCAATTGTTTAAACGGACATCTGTTTATAATTAATAACTGTAACGATCAGCTAGTGTGTATTGGGTCATAGTCAATTGTGAATCACTGATCTTTTCTCGAATTTCTTGTGAGCCACTAATATGTTCTTCTAGTTTCTTGTGAGTCATTAATATGTTCTTCTAGTTTCTTGTGAGCCACTAATATGTTCTTCTAGTTTCTTGTGAGTCATTAATATTTGTATTGAGTATCTTGTAAGTCATTAATATTTGTATTGAGTCTCTTGTAAGTCATTAATATTTGTATTGAGTCTCTTGCAAGTCATTAATATTTGTATTGAGTCTCTTGCAAGTCATTAATATTTGTATTGAGTCTCTTGCAAGTCATTAATATTTGTATTGAGTCTCTTGCACGTCAATAATATGTTTTCTAGTTTCTTGTAAGTCATTAATATTTGTATTGAGTCTCTTGCAAGTCATTAATATTTGTATTGAGTCTCTTGCACGTCAATAATATGTTTTCTAGTTTCTTGTAAGTCATTAATATTTGTATTGAGTCTCTTGTAAATCATTAATATTTGTATTGAGTTTCTTGTAAGTCATTAATATTTGTACTGAGTCTCTTGTAAGTCATTAATATTTGTATTGAGTATCTTGCACGTCAATAATATGTTTTCTAGTTTCTTGTAAGTCATTAATATTTGTATTGAGTCTCTTGCAAGTCATTAATATTTGTATTGAGTCTCTTGCAAGTCATTAATATTTGTATTGAGTCTCTTGTAAATCATTAATATTTGTATTGAGTCTCTTGCAAATCATTAATATTTGTATTGAGTCTCTTGCAAATCATTAATATTTGTATTGAGTCTCTTGCAAGTCATTAATATTTGTATTGAGTCTCTTGCACGTCAATAATATGTTTTCTAGTTTCTTGTAAGTCATTAATATTTGTATTGAGTCTCTTGTAAGTTACTAATATATGTCATAAGTCACACGTTCCGAGTGATACTCCAAGCTGCTTATAAATCACTAAACGCTGTTCATGTTCACCAATTATAAGAGTATAGAAGTAGCCCATATCTTTATGTTTAGTTATTTGATGTTGTTAACTACAAAGCTTCCAAACTGTAGGTTGTGTGAAATACTTTACTCTAAACTTTAAATGTAAAAATAATACCAGGGAATGGTAACCAAACAGTTCTGAAAATGGAGAAACTACTGACGATGAAGATACACCGAGTCTAAACAAATCCAGAGAAACACATAACTCCAATGACGGTGATGATTCTGAGAGAGAATAAAGTGTAAAACCAAATTAGTTCCTAAATTTAAATATTATCTTATCCGAGACAGTCCAAGATTTGGCAGATACGATACATTAGCTGACGACATTGAAACAGAAGCAGTATCTTAAATAGTCTAGGCAGAAATTTCTAAAAAGGGTCTAGAAATTCACGTAAGAGACAAATCATGTAACAAGCTGGGAACATATGTTTTTTATGGTAATTAGACCCCACTGATTATGAAAATTGCTATTGCCAAGAAGGATTTTTGGCCTGAAGTACAGAATTCAAGATGGCCGCCAAGATGATCGCCAAATCAATAAACCGTGACATCTCCGGTTCTAGATCATCTACATTTGAAATCTCAAACCTTTTCATGGGGTTAATAATATCAAAAACTTTAATGTAAATGTTTTGATATTTGAAAATGTCCAAAAATCAATTTTGTAAGGTAACGAAAAGTATGTATGGAGTTTTAATCACGGTAGCTATTGTATGGAAGACGAGACAATTAGCTCTATAATGTCAACAGCGATAAAAATACAAGACGACTTCTTGGAAGCAAAAGATCAGAGAAATGCAAGATTATCAGATGCAACAAAATTAAGAAAAATATTATCTGATGGGACAACTGAACGTCTTGAATCACTGTTAGGTCCATATTCTAAAAACATCACATTCTACTGCCATGGGATGTGCTATGCGGACTACGCAAAGAAAAGCCAGATATCAAAACTGGATAAACATACTGACTAACAGAAACAGCCACCACAAAAATCAGACAGTTCTTCCAGCAAACGGAACAAGACAGGGAGGCAGTCAGACTTTTTCGCTCTTCTCTAAAAGATCGGAAGTTCTTCGCTCTGTGTCAGGAAAATAAGGAAGATCGTCTGCACAAGTGCAAACCTTAAACATGAATTCCACCATCATTAGCCTTGTAATTCCCAATTATAAACATCATGTGCGCATTGTAGAGATACGTGGTCTAATTGCTGCCGAGGTAAAATACCACAGTAGTTGTCTAATACATGTATCACATGAAGGGGCGGGCACTTGAATGGTGCTGCGTGCAGTCAGCAACAACTTCGATACAGTAATGGTTTGGACTCGGGACACCTATGTATTCCTGCTTCTGATTTACCACTTTGAGAAGATGCAGTGCACGAAACTAAGGATTATGGCTGGAACATCAGAGAAAAAGTTTAACCAAATTCACACATTATATGATCAGTTGTCATCAATGGTAAAGTCCAACTTGCTGAAATGTGGTATCTTACCATCCAAGCATGCAGGGGAGTTGAAGGTATTCTCAAGTCATGCTGATTTGCTTTTCGTTCCTTTGACTGAAAATGCAACACCGGCTGCTGAAGAGTTTGCCATGAAGCTTTACAAGGTCGGATCACAGGTTACAAGTGTAAACTATGTTGGTCACGCTCTGTTTGTCTAAACAACAGAAACCGGAATCTCTGCCACAATGACAGCATCATGCGTTCACATTACCAAACAGACGTATGAGAAAATGTCCACCACCGTGAAATGGAACTTCCTGCAAGTGATGACTCGGAGTGGAAACTTGAATTAGGTATGCTCTTCCGGGTACCTGCATTGACATAATTTCATATTCTTGCAAAACAAGCCACTGTGGGAACTGCACGTGCAAATGCAAAACAAACAAAAAAAAACACAATTGTCGTACATAACATTTGTGCTCTTGGGTAATAAATGTTTAAATGTCTAATTTTTGGATATTTATTCCTGATATCAGTCACTTTAACAAAATTTACCTGGAAAATAGCTTTGTAGCAGTAAACTTGAAACTATTGTTTATTGTTAAAATGATAATATATTTAGCGTTTCCTTCCTAATATTTCATTACCATTTTATGAAATTAAATTTCGGACATTCCTACACTTTCAAAACACATATTCTATTGAATTTCTGGACCTTGAAACCCATTAAAGTTTTAGAATTTCGAGTGTAGCTTAGCTAAAACTGCAAAAACCACAATCAATAGATTTAGTAGCCATTGTTAATTCTCGACTTCAAGTTGAAAATTGATCTTGGCAACAGTAATATTCGTATTCTTGTTACATTATTTGACCCTTAATCTTGTTTTTTGAGAATGGTACCAAAACTATAAACTTACAAATTGGCTTCGGACGAATGTAACTTTAAAAATTCTAAATGTATTTTGACTGCCTTCAAAGGTTCTCGAAGTGTCCCCAAGAGCACTAGTACCACAAGGCTGAAAACCTTCGGTTCAACGTATATGGCTCTCTAAAGCAGCTATACAACAAACATAATTATTCCAAATATAGCTTCCACATTTACACTGCAAACAACCAGCATCCATCATGTTATTAAAACAAAAGTGACAGGGAGGTGTTAAAAACAATTTATATGGAGAAACATAAATAAACATTCTTACAAAATTAATCTTTCTGTGATACTCTCAATTACATACCTCACTCTTGTCATAATGTTTGAGAATTTTAACAAGAGAGGGCGACACATGCCATATACAATTTCATCGTTTTTTTATATTGGTGACAAAAATAATGAAATCGCCTCCATGATTATTATGAAAGTTGTTTTCATCACAAACCCAAAAATTAAAAAAGGTAACGAGTTTAATTGCGAACAGAAAATGAGATACATTAAAACAAAATAATTCCAGACGATGCGAAGTTAGCATACTGTTTACGAGTTTGTTTTTTTCCTCGGTTCAATATTAAAACTCACCTTTTCACACTACCACAAAAAAAAGGAGAAAATTGATTTTTTTTTCTGTTTTGGTGCTAAATTGAAAAGAGATTATATTGACTAAGATTATCATTAACATTTTATAATCAGCGTTATATAAAATGAACATAACCAAAATATCGAACTGATTTACAGGGAGAAGACGATGAACTCTGTCTAAAACAATTAATATAGAACGGGCTTATGACAGTTTTGTAAGTAAATCAGTACTATCATGTAAAATATAGTAAAATAAGACAAAATTTGAAAATAAGTGATAGCTTGACGTTCTCATTTTTCTAACAGTGGCGTTTAAATTATTTCTATTAATTGGTATTATATGTAGTTAGCAAATTTTAAATTTAATGAAACGTTATGAAGATGTTCCATAGATTTAGTTATATTTTTTCGTCGTATGCCCTTTATTTTCAAAATCTATCTATCTATAATAGCCGGATGCCTTTCTGTCATGCCCTGTATCTCCTGAACGGTTAATCGTAGAAACAAAAATATTGAAATGCTTCTTTTCAAGAGTACATTACAGGAAAATTATTCTTTTTTTTTTTTTGCAATTTCATATCGATATGAACATCGATCCGTCATTCTTCGTTGGTGCTGAATCGTCATACTGAGAAAAACTTAAGAACAAAAATGTTTCTTTTTACTAGGGAATTTCAAGAAAAAACGTGGCTTCTTCCGTCAACTGATTGAAAGAAATATTTCGAAGATAGGCGCATAAGACGGGAAAAACGACATAAAAAAAGGAACATGTTTGGGTATATATTTGTTGTTGTTCAGTTTATATATATATATATTCATGTCGGTATTATATAGATACACGCCTTTATTGTACTATGTTGAATAAATGGATTTAAATATCCCCTTTGATATTTCTTATATAAACGACAGCTGTTAAAAGTTATCACTTTGGTAGCAGTTTTTCTTGCGCTCACTAAAATGGCAAGAACGGTGGCATCCAGCGAAAAAAAAAATATCCGCAGCTACTTAACCAACCTGGGCGCTCTATTGTGTTGGACCCACCCATTGCATCGAAACCCAAACATTTTTGACAATAATGCACTGTACTCAGTCTCTTTTGCTTAATTGCTTTAAAAATACGGAATGCAATTTTCCTTATTGAAATAACCCATGGAATGATAAAAGACGGTTGCAAATGGCCCGCTAGACAATCAAATTGCATATACGCTATGATTCAAGGATTTGGGTTGACTGCATCTTCTTTTTTATTTATTCATCCTATTTTTAGGAAAATTACAATTGAAGATTTTTTAATGGGCATCTGCTAGTTTGTTGTAATGCACAATTTGATTGATAGGCAACGGTAAAATTCAAGACCAGGGCGAAAAGCCTTTCCGACAGCTACATACAAGATACAATATATTGTTTCAGACTCATATCGTTGAAACTAAATTTAAGATAAAAGAAAGAACTCTGGACTGTGACAAAACAAGGTGTTGTTGAAATGATACTATATTATTGAAGGTATTATTAAAATTGTACTATATACACTTGTGTAATCAGAAACTTGTTGAGCCAGTAATAATAACATTTCAAATTATTTTCAGTTCTGATCGTGATAAAACATCATACATACATTACTGCTGAGGGCGTTTGTTTGTTGTTTAATATGATCTACTGATGTGATTAGTAAATTAATGACATTATAACCGAGTTGTACTGTATATCTAACCCACCTACCTTGATTACGCGTGTTTTCAGTTAATAACTTAATTTCTTTGTGAGCTATAAATCCACTACGTCTCCAATGCCAGCGAGTTTTAATTGTTTGGAAGTTTGTTCAAAATGTTATTCATCTTTAAATTTCTCTTCAAATACAGTAATGACACGACAGCAGTTTCTTGAAAACAGGTAACAGTGCTGTTTTCTTTAAACCTCAAGGAAATCTCCTCGAGAAAAAAAAATTGAAGTTGTAACACATGTGCACAATTTATGTAGAAAAGAACATCTAGATGTAGGGCTTCCAATTACAGATTTTTGCTTTTTAGAGATATCTGTGAACGTTCGTTCTCACCTGCAGTTTAACTAATGTAGGAAATTACGCATAGTGTTTGTTGAAAAATATAAAAAGAAGTATGTTATAGATCAAACCACTAAAAAGTATCCTCAATTATATATATTAAATATATATATATTAACTCCTAACTGGTTTGACCTTTCATATACTTCTTTTTATCTTTTGCTGTTTAACTAATGTTCATTGTATATTATTTTTACAGTCTGTTAATAACGTCTATTACATAAGAGGCAAAAACTTTACTAAAAAGTCTCATTTTAGGCCTTTGAAGTGGTCAACTGAATACAAGGCTGTTGTTTCTCACCTTATCCAGCTGACCTAATGACGGCCTCAAATGAGTTTCGAAAGTTTGTCAATAGTTTAAAAATTACAAAAATTCTTATTAGATTTTTAAAAAGAATCTTAACTGTGTTTTTATCACCCACTTTTCCAACAAAATATCAAAAAATTACCCTCACAAAATAATTTGAGGCAAATAACAAAATGTGTGAGAAAAGTCTCGCAAAAAATAATTTAACATTGACTTTAGTAATAGCAACTCAACAAGTTGGATCTAAAAAAATGTTATGCCTTTCTAGGTGTACTTAATAGGCACATATATAATAAAAATAGAGTGCTGATATAACCCTCTTTTGAACTCGCACATAAAGTAATGACAAACTCTATTCAGTTTAGGTATACAACGGCTACAGTCACGAAAAGTCTGTATTCAGTGACGACGCGTCGTTTATCACAGACTATGGTGCAACCAGGATATTGCCCCAACGATATACATGCTAGTACTATACTTTATAAATTGTTCTGACCTTGTGAAAATGAACGAAGTGAGCTTACCTTCTTTTCGGACCAATTCACAGCTTTTACAGGTGAATCAACGACGGAACTACCGAGAAGTCGTAGAAATAATGCTACCGGCAAGAGCATAAATGAAAATGCACTCGACGTCATGTTTTCCAACTGCGAGACTTGCACTCTAGAAGTCTTCTTCCTGTTCTCTGCTTTATGTACGTTATGTGTATGATATCAGCGTGCTTTAGTTATAAGTATATGATTGGTTGAAAATACTCACAGAACCAACGCTATACAAATAGTATTAAGAGTGTTTTGTTGTCCTCGCTACGATTGGTTTACTCATCTGCAATAAACCATACGTCACGTTACTCCACGTGGCAGCCAGTCTCACTTTCACTTTTAGGTGCTTGGTTATGTTTGCTGATCCAAATATCGACTTGTAGTCGTGATTAAAAAATTCGAATTCTGTTAATTGTTAATCGAAAACATTTGGAAAATTGTAGATTAAATCAATAGGAATGTTATGCATAAAATTTCACGCCAAATGCTATGATTTTCTGAAAATATTTAAAAAATAAAAAAATGTTACGCTTTAGCGTTAAAATTTACGTTATTTACCTACTTTTCTACTCAGACAAGACATTATTATCAGACTAAACATCATCGTCTGCCTACTGTTGTGATTATTGTACAATAATTTAGCAGGCAGTAAGAAAATTCCTGAATCTCCTCTTCAAGCTGGTGGGTTCATTTGTTTTAAACTTAACTGCTGTTACAATATCTTACTTTACAAAATATACTAATATATATACAGTATACTAACACTATAACATAAAATGACACCATCGAAAGAAACCTACCTGTGAAATCTTCGCAATATCAAAGTTTCCGCGTAGATAAATTATTAATTTTTAATGTAGCATTATTCCTAAAAGTGCTAAGTTAGAAGAATCTACCCATGGTGAAATATGAATTGATTTAATTCTGCTCTTGCAGTCTATTATATATGTAACGTATCAGTATGTTTATGCTGTGAAGGTAGAATATTACATAACAGCACATAATTACCGGAAGATTAAGTGTAGTTCTGTATAATAACCGACTGTATCAGATGTGGCTTTTGATGTGTATTAAACGATAGTGCAAAAATATTCAAATAAAGTGTTTAAATACAAATATTGAGAATTTGAGCCACTTAGTCAAGAAAAGTAATAGAGTTAGGTTGGAAAAATAATAATGAAATTTACATGTAATATGGATAACAGGAGTAATATGAGCTCATAATATAATCCATGTATATATTAATTATCTGTTAATATATCTAATGTACGCATAAAAGTTAAGAAGGCTAGTCTATGTAAAGAATAAATGAACACAACGAGTAGATTACAAAAAGAAAAAAGATCACACAGAATTAAAACTTGAAGTACATTCAAGGCTTTAATATAATAGGTTTATCGGTCGGGTTAAGCCTGATCGTGAATTGAATTGACACTGAAGCGTCGGCAGAACAAATAAACGGTTGACTGGTGTTAACTATTGAATAGCCGAAAGTAGATATATATGTATATATACAGAGAAACTAAATGACCATTTCAAGCATGTTATAGATGCCTATTATTGTGATTACGTGTCTTGAAATATGCAAATTAAGGCTTGTTTTTGAATCTTCACAAATGTTTTATGATATTGAAAGCACTTTGTTGGTGTTTAATCTAAAGATCTAGCATAGATGTAGTCGGATGGAAGATTTAAGGTGGAGAACGTTTTCGGCTGGAGTAAACAGTTCGTTAATAACAGATCACGAGTTTGTAGACAAGTGCATTAGGTACGAGACTTGTTCTTTGTTTTGTGGACGAAATCTAAAATTTCCAAAATGTGTGTGAATCCAAACATCAGTAAAACATTTGATTTCGTCAAATAATCAGTTTATTTTGAATGTCGCGCAAAGCTGCACGAGGGCTATCTTTGCTATCCGTCCCTAATTTAGCAGTGATAGATTACAAGGTAAGCAACTCGTCAACACCACCCACCGCCAATTCTTGGGCTACTCTTGTACCAACAAATAGCGAGATTGACCGTCACATTATAACGCTCTCACTGCTGAATGTGCGAGCATGTTCGGTGACAGGGATTCGGACCCGCGACCTTCAGACTGCAAGTCGAGTGCCTTAACAACCAAGCCATTCCAGGTCTCTCAAATGACTGATAAGAGATAATAGGTAGAAAAGTGGCTCAAACTTTATCCAGCCTCTTATAATCTTAAAACTTAAGCTAATCCTATTATTTTACTGTAATGGCTTAAACTTTATTCCAGCCACTTATAATCTTAAAACTTAAGCTAATCCTATTATTTTACTGTAATGGCTTAAACTTTATTCCAGACATATATATTCTTAAAACCAAAACTAATCCCTTTAATTTTTTCTGTACCACGCAGTTAGCACAACATATTTGTGACATAACCGTTTTTAGCTAGAGTAAGTTACATTTTATTTTAAGACTGTTCTAATTTTTGTTGAATTTCGTGAAAAGCTGCACAAAAACTACATGCTCTAGCCGTTCCTAATTTTTGAAATGATAGGTTAGAGGGAATGTAGCTTGTCAACACCACTCATCCGGCTACTCTTTACCAACGAATAGTGGGGTTGGCCGTAAAAGTATATATATTAAAGCTGAAAGGGCCAAGATGCCAGCCATTGACGGGTTTCGATCCTTCGACCCACAGATTGCGGTCGAGCGCTCTAACCACCAGTTCCTGTCAGGCTTTACATTTTTTTTTCGTCAACGGCTTTTTTTCTTAGGGTTTAGTATTTTCAAAATTCTCTATAATAAAGTATGCTCTTGCATTTCATGTAGTTCTTTTACGGTAATGAATTTTCATTGATTTTAAAGAAGTTTTGTCCATTCTGTCCCCAGGTGGATCCGCGGTAAGTTTCTGGACTTACGTTGTTAAAATCCGAAATTAAATTCCCCACTGTGAACAGAACGCAGATAATCCATTGTGCAGCTTTTACGCTAAAAATAAAAAAAAAAAAGGTTAACAAAACAAACAAATCGTCCGTTCTAGTGTTCAGAATCACGTTTTCTTGATGATATGATTTAAACGTTTTTCTGGTGATTTAAAATAAATTGTTAAATAGGAAGAAGTGTGACTTATTATTCCCTAGATCATTCAAAGAATTTGAATGAAACCAGAAAATTATAATAAGACTATCACAGCTGTGCCATGAAAATTATCACTACAGTATGGTGTTATGTACGTGTGTAGTACATGATATTTACAAGCATCCTTTCGTTACGGTACGAGTAAAGGGGATTATAATACTTCACATGCGTACATAAATACTATCAGTTTAACACTTTACATGATGAACTAGATACAACTATATTATATTAAAATTTTAACAACGGAACCATTATTCCCAAGTACAGCCAGTATAAAATAAAAAGGAAATGGTCAATATGATCATGGCATATGCTCCGTGAAATAAAAGGTATTGTTACGTCTCTGGTCGTTAGTTAATTTTCCGTAAAAATTCTTCTTGGCGGCTTATATATACAAGAATACATCATATCTAGTAGCCTCTCGAGACTTCAGGAAGGGACGTGAACGTTCGAGAATATGACGTGTTACTAGGGTCACGTGACCCCCGCTGTCATAACAGTATGCTAAAAAAATGTGCTAGCATTTTGTGTCTTTTTAAAAATCAGAAATAGTTTTGTACTTTGTGTTGTATTTTTTCATTATAGAAGAAGTGAACAAGCTTATATTTTAAATGCACTCCGAACAATATTGTTTAAAGTACATTTGCTTCTTTTTTTGTTGTTGTTGTTATTTGAAGAGAATCGGTACAGTTCTTCTGATTAGTTTTTGAGGTCAACGTGGTTTTCAGGTGTTCTTGGCTTTGAAATTATACACTGTGTATTGTGATTAACGTATACGACAAAAGAGGGCCATTCTCTATAAGCATCCATGCATAAAATGTACCGGAAGAAATGCTAGCTTACACCTCTTAAGCTAGGAAGTGAACTTTTAGCTAAGTGGCCTATGTAAGCAATTAAAATAGTATAGTTATCCGACTTTTGTAAGTAAGGTCTCATGATATTTGTTCTTTGTTTGCTATGTTTTCAGTGCAAAGCTACACCATGGTCTCTCTGAGCTCTGTCCACAATGGGGATTAAAACCCCAGATTTTATCGTTGAAAGTCCACAAACTTACCACTGACCTACCAAGGGACGTCTCATTCAATGAGCATTCAATATCATTTCGGAGTTGTAAAGTTGAACCCTGTTTCTCCCCACTATAGTGTAAACGTTGTGTTTTTAAAATGATAAAAGAAATGCAGAAACGTTCGCAAAAAGTTCATACCTCTTAATATCAAATTACTTCATTATGTTTATTGCAATAATAGTATATACTTTAATGTTTCTTTTATGTATTCCACTTTTACATAAGCATTTTTGTATACACTATAGGGTTAATGTTTTTAAGATATTTTTTGAATGCTACAATATTTTTAGATAGTTTATCGATGATATTTATGCACAGTCTATGAAACGTAGTTGTAAATAAAAGTAAACATTAGCTGATGACTTTTAGAATTCATTAAGCAGCCCCCCAGTAGCACAGCGGTATGTCTGCGGACTTACAACGCTAGAAACCGGGTTTCGATACCCGTGGTGGGCAGAGCACAGATAGCCCATTGTGTAGCTTTGTGCATAACTTCAAACAAACAAACAATTCATCAAGCAAAATTGGGTATCTTCATGAATTATGTTAGATTTCCCAAGAAGAAAAACCTGAATACAAAAAAATAGAACCGCATAACTGAGAGACCTTATGTCTATATACTCTGTTAACAGCATTTAAAAAGTGTTATTTGTATACACTCTTTTCGCTCAGTTTTTGATTTAATAACGGTATTCGCAGTTTTCTTGTCTATACATGGGTGAACTCGACATACAATAAAAATATCTGTTGAAAATACAAAGGAAATAAGTAGAAGTGTTTTTATTATTATTATTATTATTACTCGTTATAATATAAAGTTATATTTCAAAACTTCAAACAGTTTCAAGTTTTTTTACATCCACAAATTATGATTTTATTTTGCGGGATTTATTTCTAATTTTGGAGATTTTTTTATTCCTGTTAATTTTTATGTGATATTATGTCTATTTGAAATCAGCAAAAAATATTTTGAAATA